GGGTGCTGCCTGCTGCTGTGTCGGCTTTGCATAGGGCGCGTTAACGTATGCGGTAGCGTGCAGGGGGTCGATATTAAATGATATTGATTAGTCTTATACTCAGCCCACAGCGATGGTGAGGGTGTGGGGGGAGGGCGGGGTAGATAGTGACAGCTGAGAGAGCTTCTCAAGAAAGGTTGAGAGTGGACCTACACCTGGTCTTCTGCTTCATGCTGCTGCTCTCTCCTGTCCGCGCAATCGCTCTCTCTCTCTCTCTCTCCGTGTCTCGCCTTCAGTAGCGCGCCACTCTCTCTATCTCTCCTCTCGGCCGCTCTCCTCTCTCTACTCTCGTCTCGCTCTAGGTGCGGCGGCACTCTCTCTCTCTCTTCTCTCTCGTCCTCTCAGTCTCTCTCTCTCGTTCTCTCTGTCTCATCTCTCATCTCTCTCTCTCTCTCTTCTCTTCCTTCTCTCTCTCTCTCTCTCTCTCTCTCTCTTTCGTCTCTCTCTCTCTCTCTCTCTCTCTCTCTCTCTCTCTCTCTCTTCTCTCTCTCTCTCTCGTCTCTCTCTCCCTCTCCTTTTTCCCTCCTGCCTCCCCTTCTCTCTCTCGCTCTCCACGCGCCTACATGCGCGTGCATGTAATTCCTAGAATGATTCTAACGTCTGTCTCTCACGTTTAGTCTAAGTACTTCAACTCTTATTGTGTATTTATTTAATATTTAACTGTTCTATTGCTGTGAGACGGCCGTGTGGAAGATAGAGGTCCGCGCCATTTTATTGTCTCTATACCTGACATGTTTTATCGTCGTTAAATAAAGTTTTTACTTACTTACTACTTCTCACGTAGGCGCGGGACCTTCACCGAGTCTTCAACAAGGAGGAGGAGATGTGGGCTTACCAGCTTCTCGTCTACATGCCGATGGACCTCAATACGATGGAACAGAAGGGGAAGGAAGGGAAGTACCACACACTGGAACAGTTCCACGCGGACGCACACATACTGCTACACAACGTCATAGTACTGTTCGGACGTAAGTGTCTATCCTAGTTAGTTAGTTAGTTAGTTAGTTAGTTAGTTAGTTAGTTAGTTAGTTAGTTAGTTAGTTAGTTAGTTAAGGAAGGGAAGTACCACACACTGGAACAGTTCCACGCGGACGCACACATACTGCTACACAACGCTTTTTGGACGTAAGTGTGCTTCTTAAGGGGGATGACTTTACCTTACCGTAACTTCTAGGGGTGTAAATTTACCTTAACTCTTTAGTCTACTTGGACGTGGCATATTTCGATTCCTATCTAGATTGGATTGTGATTTAGTTATTCGAATGTCATAGTTATAAGTTAGGCCTAAGAAAAAAAGATGTTTGTTTCCGCTAACGGAGCTGAAAAAAAATTGGACCCGGTAGGCAGGCAAAACTTTTTTTTATCAAATATATTTTATTTTATTTTGTATTCTAACAATACTTGTTTTATACTTATAACAGCCCATATAATAACTTCAAAATCAAATCAATGCATTCACCGATCGGTATCATGTTGGTATTTTTTTTATTTAAAAAAAAACATTTTTAATTTAAAAGTATCACAATAAAAAGTTTCGACACGGCAGTTTAAAATGGACTCGGTCGGGTTAGCGGAAACAAACGTCTTTTTTGTTTAAGCCTTATCAGTGTGTATGACACGCTTGCACCTACGACTCAAACTTGCGGAGGGCAGTTGTTGATAGATCGATTTTGTTATAAAAAAAAATTGTG